AGTTAATACTCAGATAATCGCCTTCGGCTGATCCCATAGAACAGTGCATATATAAACAGACAGAATTTAAGATTGTGTCAGTATACATCATACAGGGCGACATCACCCGGCAAAAAGTCAGAGCCATGTTAGGATACCGGGAACCGGTGGAGATGCTCTTAAGCCCATTATTGGCCAACCGAACTTAGTCATTGTCTTCATTGAGAAGGCGCAGCTTCTGATCGAGTGCGGCTATGCGCTGAACGATGTGCCGAAGCTTGCCTTCGAGAACCGCTTCGGACTCGAGCAACCGATACTGAATAGTCTCATCGGCCGTCGCCAGATATTGATCGCGGCGCGCATCCAAGCGTGGCGTCCGGTCCCCTTTTTTGTCCGATCGACGCGTCGTCATTCGATGTGTATGCTCGACCAAGTGGATTTCTTCGAGAAGCTCTAAGTCGTGTCGAAATGTGTCCTACACATAGCATGCAACTATCACATCATTTCACGCCCCATCTACCATTTCACTGCTGGACAAGTGGTCCTTCCCGTCCGCGTCGTATATCGAGAGCAAGTCTCTGTACTCCATGGCGTGGCGTCCCGGACGGCTCCAGCCGAAATCCATGAGATCCGACCGCATGCGCTCCCTACGTCACCACTCTAGTCTCATTCTTGATCGGTAGCGTACAGTTGAGTCTGCGGGCGCTCCCGCTGCGTGCGCTGCACGATCCAGCGCTCTTCGCTGGCTTGGCTTTGGGCCGCGCGAAAGAGGCGCTGAAAGTTGCTGCCAATGACGCTCGTCGGCAGCGACAGGACGAGGATGCCGGCGAGAAGCGACACGGAGGCAATCGCGCGTCCAGGCGGCGTCGCAGGTACGTCGTCGCCAAACCCGACAGTGGTCATCGTGGTCATGCACCACCAGAGTGCGCTCCCCACACTACGATAGCATCAGAAGCTTATGTTTGCACATGTCGCCAACCTATAGAACGGGGACGGAAGACAGCACGGCGAGGGTGGCGCGGGCACTCGGAGCGGCGAGCACATGAAGCTGTGCATGGCGGGAATGCAACCCGCGTCGGTGACCGTCTCGGCGTAGAAAAGGGCACTTGAAAAGACGAGCTAAGAAACACTCTCTCGCGCCACGTCGTACGCGTGCATGTCCATAGCGAACGTACCATCGTAATCGACATGAGAAACAAGAGGATGTAGAGCGCTTGCGAGCTTTCTCGAATCGCCTGGTTCCATGCATTTCAAACCAAAAGCAGGGACAACGAGCGTACGTAAAGGAACATTTGAATCGAGCTCGTGTAGCGCGAGAGCTTGAAGATGCGCGCAACGCGAAAGAGCCGGAGCGCCCGAAGCGCCGAGAGTGACGCAATGTGCCGCTACCAAGGAAGGTCGTCCCACGCTTAGAAGTGCGACCGACGCACCGACGCGAGAAAGATCTCGAGGTAAAAGGGCGCGACCGACGCGACATCAATCCAGTTGAACACGTCTACCGCAGCCACTCTGTTGCAGTACACGACGAGGTGCAGACACGAATCGTGGTACCGCGGGCAAATTCGCCGAGGTGTGGCACGCAAAAGAAGCGCACGACCACATCGAATGTAAAGAGAGTGACACAACAGGTCTAGTGCGCGTGCTGTAGGAGGGTAGGACGGAACCAGAGTACTACCTCGAGAAGGGACAAGGTCGATGCGTATGGCTCCAACGACGGCTCGGTTTGCAGCACAAAGACAGAGGTGGCCAGAATCACCGCGACGATGAGCACCGTTGAGACGACCCGCGCCTGGGCTCCATGAGCGTCAACGCGGCAGCGAGCTCCACAGTACCAGCGGTGAAGACGACGGGTCTTGCAAGACGAGCCAAAGGCGCACGCGCCACGGACGCTCGTTGTCTACATCGCATGCTTCTTTCTCAGAACGGGACTCAACAAACGTACGGTGCTTGGCGAGGAGACGCATGGACGGATATCGATCTTGGAGAGTGACTTGGTGGTATGTTGACGGCTTCTTGCGCGTAGGGCTCATAGCAGGCTGTATGCGAGCTGCATGAAGTGGGATGTACCGATCCATGATCTCCAGCTTGCGCTGTCCACGCTCGAGGACCCGCGATAGCGCCAAAGCCGTCGTCGGTAGTGTCCGCGCATGGCTCATTCTCGGCTCCATTTCGCTCGTTCGACGAATGGTCGGGCGTTAAAAACCGTCGTAATTAACTCATCCACCTTCTCCAATATGAACCAAGCCATGGATTAGGGGTACTGTACATAAGCGTCACCGCTGAATTGTACTCTCGCGGTATCCCTTGCCCAACTCTCAAGTTGGAGAGTAGATCTTGGGAGGGTCGACATGATTTGCGTCCGACGACGTGCTTGTAAGTTAGATTGACCAGAAAGGATGACACAACTAGGACATTTGAAGCAGCTCGACGCGCTTCTCGAGCCCCGCGAGGAGGTTGACAATCTTGTTGAGCTGCGCTTCAATGCGCACTTCGGACTCGAGAAGTCGCATCTCGATGAGTTCGTCGAGCATGTCCATGTGCTCGTCCTTCTCGTCCGTTGCCTGTTGCAGGCGTGAGAGCGTCGCAGCTTGCGTGAACCGTCGCGACTTGTCGTGTAGCGTCGGTGCAATGTGCATTTGATGCATTTCCATCGTCTTGTGCAGCTCTTCCAGGTCATGTTGAAAGCGTCGCTACACATTATTTTTCAGCTTTCCGAGAGGTACCAGTATTTCCACGTACCAGCTCGTTGTCTTCCAAAGTGCCCGTGTGGTTGACGTCGTACAGCGCAATGAGTTCGTCCGGGTTGATATTAATGTGCTCGCCGACAATGTTGTAGCTGCGTAAGATCTCCTTGATCTCGTCCCTACATCCATATGGATACAAAATGATATGTCATACCACGTGCGCACCGCCGTAAGACCTCTTTGCCCGTGACCAGCGCCATGTTGGTCTTCATCGTCGACTGAAGTGCCTCCTTCATGACTTGCTGAAAATTGGAGCCAATGACGCTGATCGGTAAGGCGAGGATGAGCATGCCCGACATCATCGTGAACGATGCAATGAGCTTCCCGAGGGGCGTCACAGGCACGTCGTCGCCGTAGCCGACCGTGGTCATCGACACAATGCACCACCAAAACGCCGCCGCAATGCTAAGTTACCATGCCATTGGAGGCCGATAGCTTCCATATTCTACCTGTAAAACGGGTTGGGGTCGCAGCACGGATCCGGGGGCAACGGCACTTGGTTGAGGGAACAAACCTTGGAGTACTGCGCCAATCGACACCCGCTCTCAGTGTACTCTGCAAAGTACATGGCGCTTGAAAAAACCATCTACATGGAGCGCTCATGTCTTGTGCGCGTGTCGTTTTGGCATAGGGTACCATGGCGATCGCCATCAAGAAGAGGAGCATAAAGAGGGGCTTGGCACTGAGCGTGATGGCCTAGAGGGAGCATGACAAGGCGTCCACAAACAGCGTCGATATCTCGTACGCGCATGAATGTTTGAATCGACGACGTATACCGCGAGAGTTTGAGGATGCGCGCAACGCGCAGCAAGCGCATGATGCGAATGACACCGACCGACGAGGCGCTTTTCTATGCAAATGCATATATGGACAACAGTGTCGCTCGTCCAGACAGACCATGTTGAGCATGAGCTCCAGATAAAAAGGCATGACGGACACGAGGTCAATCCAGTTGAAAATATCTACGTCATTCGATGTCCCAACAAAAAGTGGGCCAACACGCGTACCCAGAAAAAACGACACGTAATGGGGGGCACACGCCACGCGGACGACAAACTCGACCGAGAAGAGGTAAATGCACACATGCTACGTATCTCGAATCCATCATGAGGAAATGTCGCTTGCACTACCTCGGCGGTCGTGAGCTGCTCGGCAAACGTGCTCAGCGACGGCTCGGTTTGAAGGACAAAAATGAGGCTGCCGGCAAAGACTGCGCACAGCAGCACAAATGAAATGTACCGACCCTACACGTCCTGTCATGTCAGACAAGGATGAACGGTGCTAAATTGCGAGCCACCAAAAGCGAGGACATGGGGTCGTTGAACATGGTCCAAATCCTGCGTCGCACGCCCGCAATGCCTACAGACAGCAGCGCTGACGCAAACTTGCAACAAGTAGCACATACGGGACTCGACGCGAATGTAGGGCAGACCGTGGCCAGACCCGCGGCGCGCGTCAGTGATCGTTTTTGAGATCGACACCTTGCGGAGAAGGTTCCAGCCGCGAGACGAGGAGTCCTTGCGCAAGAGCGTGGATTGGGCGGGGCGCCGCCCTGCGGGTTGCCGCACGCGCTTGATGACGCTCTGCTTTCGCGTCTCTCGCTCCAGCACGCGGGATAAGAGCAGCGCCGAGTCGGAGAGCGCCGTGATCCGCGTCGTTTCGATGGACGCAGGTCCAACGCCTGACCACGTCGGCATGCAGAAGCACTCTGACCTGAAGTAAAGTTAGAACCGGTCGTGAAACCCCGGCTTTTGTAACCATGCACCCACCATTTAATGGATAGTATAAAGGTCATGCCCTAAGCTTACAACCAAGCAAAAGTTATACCCTTGATACGACATACACTCAAACCATATACTGTAGGTGCGATTTACATCTCATGCGTCAAGTCGCTCTAGTTTCTGCTCGAGTGCAGAAAGCAGCGCAAGGACGCGGTCGAGCTTGGCTTCGAGGCGCACTTCTGACTCGAGCAGCCGCGTCTCAACGACTTCTTCGATAGCGGATATCGTATCGTCGGTGGGGCCCTCCAGGTTGGCGAGCGACCCAGCTTGCGTGAGCCGCCGCGCCCGCGCCTCGCCGCTGCAAGTAATTTGCACAGCGTGGACGGCTAGAGTTCCATGAATTTCGCCGAGGTCTTCCTTGAGGCGCTTCTACAGCTCCGTGTTTGACGTCGAAACCAAGATGTGTGCGCTTGTACCAGCCCTTCGACGTCGAGGACACCGCTCGCGCGGGTATCGTACAAGCCGACGATCTCATTCGGGTCCACTTCGACCGCGTCGTCGAGAACGTGAAAGCTCTGAAGCATGCGACGAATCTCGTCTCTACGCCGTTCATAAGTACTCGTGTATACAACGCATCCGGAATAGGACAACTTGTGCACAGCGTCCGAGCCAATCCCAACTTCGGTCTTCCCCCTCGTAGCAAGAAGCGCCGCCGACTCTTTCACGACGTGCTGGAAGTTGGAGCCAATGACACTGATGGGCAGCGCGAGAATGATGAGGCCGGACATCATGGTGATGGACGCAATCAATTTGCCGACCGGCGTCACTGGCACATTGTCCCCGTACCCGACAGTGGTCATCGACACGATGCACCACCAAAACGACGCCGCAATGCTAATATTCCGTAAACTAAGAAAACAATAGCTTCCATTTTACCTGTAAAACGGGTTGGGGTCGCAGCACGGTGACGGGGGTGGTGGCACTTGGCTCGGCGAGCACATGGGGGAGTAGAGTGAGAGGCGGCAGCCACTCTCCGTGTACTCTGCAAAGTACATGGCGCTTGAAAAGACCACCTACGGTGTTGAAGAAGACACCTGGGCACGCCCTACGGACGCACCATCGTGACGGCGACGAGGAAGAGCAGCATAAAGAGCGGCTGGGCACTTCGCGACATGGCCTAGAGTCGACTACCGAAGCCGTAGAGAAGAAGACTAAGAACGTACTTTGCTAAACGTTTGGAGCGACGTCGTGTACCGAGACAGCTTGAGCACGCGGGCAACGCGGAGAAGCCGCATGACGCGAATCGCGCCAACCGACGACGTGTTTTTCTACCAAAATCCCATCAACGATGTTGTCATATCGCAGGTGTACCGTGTTGAGAGACAGTTCGAGGTAGAACGGCACGATCGACATCAAGTCAACCCAGTTGAAGACATCTAGCCGATAAGTTGGCCTCCAATCGACTGCAACCATAGAGGCGCGTGTACCACAGGTAAAGTGCCAAAAGTTGGGAGCACAAGCAGACCGCAGCGCGAGCTCGGCCGTGAACAGAAAGACACAGCAGCGCTGTAGATGATACTCGTTGCGGGAATTCGTTTAGGCAAACGCGTACCTCGAGAATCGAGAGCTGTGGTGCTAGCCACGTCAGAGAGGGTTCGGTCTGCAGGATGAAGATGAGGGTGCCAACAAAGACCGCGCTCAGCAAGAGTATCGATGTGTAATAGGCCTAAATCACAGATGTGGTGCTGCTGTCCACATAAAACACTCACAAGTCGCGACGACGATGGTTCGTAGAGCAGGAGCCAAATGCGTTGGCGATATGTGACTGCCGCTGCCACTAGAGTACAGGAGCAAATTCCGTCAGACGTGGCAGTCCATGGTCAATCAAGTACTACGTACTGTTCAAGGTCTGCGACCCATTTGGGGGGGCGACGGGGGGATCCATGGGGGCGCGTTCAGGCTGCATCTTGGATACCACTGCTGCCGGTGTCAGTGCCATCGGTCGTGGGCATCGCAGTCGAATGCTTTGTTTCCGTGCTTCCCGCTCCAGCACTCGTGAGAGCGCCTTGGCGGACGCAGAGAGACCGCACACCAGCGCCATCGTTCTTGAGTTTGATCCAAAAATATATAACCGTCGGTGGGCGCATCCCAAAATGCCGCATCTGCTATCCTTGCTACTACAACGGCGACGCACTGTGTCCTGGACTTGGACACGTCTTGTTTCCATCTCCTGTACGTTCCAGATCACAACTGTATTCCATCGACTAGACACCACGTGGATATATTCTGCATTAGTACGTGATTACTTTGGCGCATAAAAGTTCAACGTCATGCGACGAGCCGTGCTCACGGGCGCGGGCTTCTTGTAGAAACTCACGTCCGTGATTGTCTTGAGGTGCGCCGCGTACTCTGGCGTACCATGGACCTTGATCGAGCACTCGGCGCACATGGTTTGCACGCACTCGGCACAGTAGAAGACGGCCACGTCACTCTCGCAGCGCTTGCACATCATGGGCTTTTGCCACTTGGAGCCAAGGGCTTCGACTGCATTGTGGCTCAAAAAGAGCTTGACAAAGTGGTCGAATCCGCGCACCGCGGTCTCCATCGAGTCAAACTTGAGGTAAAGTAATGGCGTGCTGGGTGACTGCAGCGCACTCCACACCATCTCATCGAAGTCGGTCGACTGAGTCGTGGCGATGGCGACAGCAGTAAGGCGATGGGCAATGCTTCGCGCAACGGTGGCACACTCGACAAACCTACGGCATGTGAGACCAATCACGCACTTCGCCAACGTACAGAGGGTGTTCGTAGAGCGCTGCGACAAAGTCCGTGGCCGAGAGCGAGAGAAGATCGCAGGACCGAAGTGTCACGACCGAGTACTGGCACACTGACGCGCCGAGGAAGCCTTCTTCGCCAAAATACTGACCGTCGGCAAATCTATGCAATGGGCGACATGAATGGCCATTGTCCTTATCGTTGGTGGTGGTGTACCGCGACGGGAGAAATCCTTGTTCAGTCGACGCTGAAATGAGCGTGCCTTTCGAGACAAAGTACATGGTCTTGCCAATGTTGCCTTGAACGATCACCGACTCGCCGACGGGGTACCCCTCAAAGACGAGCCGCTGCGCAATGCTGTAGATGACGAGCTCAATGTTGCCAACGTCTTGGCAGAGCGGACGAAAGTACTTCATCGCAAAGCGCGAGAGGCTGAGGCGCGTGATCTGGATCACGGCCTGGCACCGAATACGCGTCGGGAGCTGCTCGAGAATGTTCTGGTACTGGACGCCTTTCTGCGACGACCACCAGTACGTTAAATACGAGTGGACGCGGGCTTCCATCGCGGCGTCCATGCGCTTGTGGCGGACAAACTCGATCACGTTCATTTGGTTGATCTTGAACTCGACTTCGTTCTGAATGAGGTAAATCGAAAGTGACGAAGCTTCGCCAATGATATACGAGAGCACAAAGACGCCAAAGACCGAGACAACATCGAGAAACGCGTACTGCAAGAGCGTCGACGGCTCGTGCACGAGGCCGGCCCCCGTGTACATGGATGCCGAGAGGTACAAGCTTCGAAGGACCCGCAGGATCATGTGCTCGACGTTGGTATCGCCATGCGTCTATCCAAAACATCAACCTCAAATATCAAGACAACTAAATCCTACGTCAAATTCATGGCTCGGCAAAAAGGCTTCCCATGACTCTGCAAAGCCGTCGACAATCGTCAAGCCAAAGTACGCACACGCTGTCCAGTAGACGCAAAGAAAGTAGTATAGCCCGAGGAGCGCGAGCCGGTTGATTTCGTACGTCATGCTGAACCGGTTGATTTCGCGCATCACGAGGTTGAACTGACGGCCTTTGATGAGCCGGTTGAAGCGGAGGAGGGCCGACCACCCAAAGAGTGCGCCAAGCAGGTAGTCGAACGGAATCACCGCGAGTATATCGAGGACGAGGCCGCCCTTTGGAAAAATATCGCCTTCGTAAAACTCGCGGGTTGACGTAGTCTCGACAATGTGCCGCTTGAACCAAATATCATAGACAAACACGAGGTCCGTGACCACGTTGAGAAGCTACGCGAGCATCGATGAAATAAGACATTCTGGCATAAAACACGAGGGAAAATATAGTACCGTGACAAGCGCGAATGCCTCGGGGGAAATCCCGTGATAGCCAAATGTGAGAAGAAACGGAATGCACAAGGCGTTGTACAAGATTGAGGCGCAGAGAAGCTTCATAAACCGTCGGTAAATCGGCGTCTGGACCTGAATGTGCAGGAGCAACGTGATCTGCTCGCGCCACGTCAGCGGACGCCCCAATTCGACGCGGCCCCGAACCACGTCAAGGACAGTCTTGAAGGACGCCGACGGCCGCCGTAGCTTCTCGGACCGCTTGGATTCGAGCGTCGGGATAACCTTGTGACTAATTGCGTGCGATAAGCGGCGTGAATTTGCAGTCTCGCGGGTGCTGGCTTGGGTCTGCCCCCCGGTCTTATCGCGCACTTGCTTGTCCTGCTCCTTGTAGAGTAGCTTGACAATCTGCATGACCTTGGCCTTCCACTCGGGGTACTGCGCAAAGACCGACTCCAAGTGCGTCCGCGAGAGTCGAAAGAGCGTACAAAATGTCTTGGCTTCGATGGACGCATTCCGCGGCTGGTTGGAGAAGAGCGACTTTTCGCCAAAGAAGCTGCCGCCGTGGATTTCAGTGATTTTGGTCCCTTTTGCAATCGCGGCAAACGTGTAAATACCCATAGCGTTCGTCTCAAACGCGTCCTGAATGTCTTTGGCGACGTAAATCTCGAGGCAGCCCGCAAAGACAAAGAACATTTCCATGCCAATTTCGTTTTGGCGGCACACGACTTCGCCGCGCGTGACAAGAATTTGGCTCATTTGGCTCACGAGCACGCGCGTAATGCTCGAGCTCGCGTGCTCTTCTTGGAAAAACGGCACCTTGTTGAGCATCGGCGTCAGCAAGAAGAGCCGGACGTCGGCGACGAGCGTCGGCGGAAGGCATTTCGCCAAGACGTGTTCTTCGTGGATCGAGTGAAAGAGGCGGTAAAAGTAAAAGTGCTGGACGCGCGCTTCGACTTCGTTGGAGAACTCAAAATATGCGATGAGCTTCCGAACATAGTTGAGGTTGCTGTAAAAGATGCGGTTGTTGCCGTCCATGACGGCCGCAATGTCGAGCAAATTCCCGACAATATACGAGAGCAAAAACACACCGAGCGTTTGGACGAAAATCTACACATCAAATCTCACAATTCGCACGCATTTGCAAATGGAATACCGTAAACACATTCTCAAACGGCGTGATCGGGTGCTCGCCGGGCTGAAAGCCAAAGAGCATGCCAACGCCCCAGTGGTAGCAGTGCGCGTACGCAAGTGCCGTCGACATTGTCGTGTCATTCTTGGACAAGTCGTACTTGGCGCTGGGCAGCCAAATGTTGTCGCCAAAGCCGGAATCGCCCGTCGGTAGCGCCGAGTTACTTCCAAAGCTGTACCACGCGCACCCGACAAAATGCGACAGAAAATACGTGTAAAACACGATACGCAAAATGCGCATCGTGATCGCTTGGCGGTAAAAGTGGCGCTCAAGGTGTGTGAGCAAGCCCGGAATCCGCGTCACGCGAAGGAGCTTGTTGACGTGCCACAGCTCGAGGTAGGGCGCGCTGCCATAGTTGACCAAATACAGCGGAAGAAGCGCAAAGACATCGACCCAAAATGCACTCGAGAAGAGATACTGCGCGCGGATACTCGGGAGGTCCATGACCTACGCCATCATATGCGTCACAGTCCATGAAAAATTGTGTACCTTGTTGCCAAATTCCCAGTACCCGATACGAAACTGGAGCAACAAGTCGGCGAAAAAACCGACTTCAAGCGCGATGTCCATGCCTTCAAACCCGAGTGCCGCACGCATTTCGTAGCCAAACGCCAGGAAGAAGGGCACCGTGATGCACTCAAAGACGATGGCTGTGAACATGGCGATTTCCCACGCGACCGCAAAGGTGCCTTCCGGATCGATCGCGACGGGCTGCACTTTGACCGGGCGCACGACGTCGGCCAAGTGCTTTCGGGCCAGGTTCCAGCCGCGGCTCGACTGGCCTTTCTGGACGCGCTCGAGAAACTTGACGCAAAACGGGAGGTAGACTTGCCGCATCGCAGAGAGCGTCTCGCGTGAGACGGCGACGACAGCGCACGAAGACTGCGCAAACGCACAGTCGATGTGCGCGGCGTTGTCGTTATCAATCTCGAGTGCCGACAAACCAAACGGGTCGCCTGGCCCGAGGTAGCGCGTATTTGCCCCGGTCGACGACCGCACCGACGACGCCACCGTGACGCGGCCGTCGAGCACCATATAGAGGCACTCGGCTTGGTCGTGCTTGCGGTAGATGAGCTCGCCTTGACCAAACAGCTGGATGTGTACACTGTCTAGAAAAATGGCCGAGACGCGCGGGAACGCCTCCTTGATCTTGTCGAGGCGCGCGATAACGTCCAAGAACGGGCGGCAAATGAACGAGTAAATGTCGCGCTGCAGGTTGTTCGGCAACTCCCCGAGGAGCTCGTTGACGTCGGCACCACGATGGACACTCCACCAGAAATCCAAGTAGGCCGACGCGCGGCGGTGGATCCCATTCGGCACGTTCTGGGACTTGAGGAAATGCTCGATCCGCGACCGCTGCGAAAGAAACTCCATTTGCTCGAGCGCGGACGCCGTCACACGTTTTTGCACTTCGTCAATGAGCGCGGAGATGAGGAGCATGCCCATCAGCATCAAGATGAAGCCCAGGATCGACTCGCCGAGGGTTTCCGGCTCGAGTGGTAGCCCAAGGTTCGTGACGCAGACGGCGCCATAGTAGAGGACGCGCAAATATTGTCGCGCGAGGATCTCGGGCACGGCCGGGTCGTCGATCGCAATCTCCTCGAGCGTCGTGACATTGATGTACGCCGTGTGGTCATTGTTCCAGGGCAGCTGCAGCTCGGGCGGATGGAGGAGCTCGCTCTCGTGACTTGGGTCGTGGGGCGCCAGCAAGATGTACGTCTGCGCAATACAAGCCGCAAGGTGGTACGAGATGAAGAGACCAAACCCTAAGATCGCAATGCGCCGCCGACTCGTAATGCGAATGAGCACGGCGACTTCGGTAAACTCGTGCTCAATGTGGCGGCACCGCAGCAGTCGCAGCATGCGCCACACGAGATGCTGGGACGGCATAAGCAGCCACCACGGCAGCGCGCCAAAGACGTCGAGGTAGAACGCTCGTTGCAAATAATGCCGCGCGCACTTGGTCGGGTCCATGATCTGCTCGGCCTCGACGATATACGAGAGGTTGAGCTGAGCGTAAATGTCGACAATGTACACAATGTCCGCGATCGTGTTGAGAGCGAGGGCCGCGGTTGGATATCCGATCGAGCGAAACGTGTTGAGCAGCGTCACCGTCACAAGATTGTACCACATGGCCGCCTAGATTGAGTAGAAGATATTGTTCCTACATCATTGTCGAGAACGATTTAAGAACCTGGATGAGCAAGAGCCATACGAGCCGGTATTTGGAGCGGCGAGTGATCGGTGTCGACAGCAGAATGCGAGCCCAGCGTGGCGGCGCCTCGACCTTGATGCTGACAACTGGTGGCTCGGGTGGCGACACGGGCAAGCTCTTGGAACGATCTCGTACCGCATCGGGAACGACCGTCGCCTTGGACTGAAAGAAAGTCGTTCGGTAGCGCTTGATGCTGCTGACCGCTCGGGGCTCTTGGATAATGGTGGCTTTGACCGCTTCGGTCGGCAATATAGCCTTCTCCGCGACTTCTTCGGCCTTCTCGAGGGTATGGCGTAGCGACGCTCGGCGCTTGCGGTCGATGATCTGATTGTTTTCGCCGTCAAAGGCTTGGATGAGCTGCGTGACGCAGTCCAAAATGCTGTCTTCAAACTCGGGGTATGCGGTGAGCACTTGGTGCACATGCAACCGCGCGAGCTTGTGCAAAATGCAAAAGGTCGTCGTTGTCACTACCCCGATCATGAGTTTTCGACAAAAAAGAGACACCGCACCGCTCGCGGACCGCGTCCGGTTAGTGAAGAGTGAGAGCTCGCCAAACGAATTGCCCTTGCGTAGCTCCTTGATCTAGAAAAGGATTAAGTGCAAGTTCATCTAGAGACGATCGTGCACCTTGATGTGGTTGAGCGTAATGATAAGGACACCCGATTGGACAAAGTACATGTTGTCGCCGACGTCGCCTTGGGTGACGACTGGAAAGTTCGCCGGCATCGCTTCGGTCTCGGTGAGGTCGATGAGCGCACGCAAAAAGTTGTTGTTGCAGCGCCGAAAGAACGGGACATTGGCCACCATGTCTTTGAGCATGGTGAACTTGACGTCCTTGGCGATCGACGGACAGAGCAGTTTCATGTTGCTCTTGTCGTTTGTGTCGCCGCTCTTGAACTCGTGCTATTCCAAAGAGCCATGATCTCGTGTCCAAAGGCGCTCCGAATGCGATACTTCAATGTACTCGACCGCGCGGTCTTGAATATCTTTTGGCACCTTGTGGTACGAGAGCACTTGGCGCAGTTGGTTGACTTTGGCGTCCAAAATCTCTTGACGCGCCATGTCGCACTTGGACATCATAAAGAGCGTGCCGCAAATGTAGACAAAGAGGAGGAACCCGCCAAACATGACAAAGAGCATAAAAAGCGACTCGAGCGCCGTCCGAGGCACTTGGCCTTCGACGCTTTTTGAAATGATGCCAATCGACCTGCGCACGTCGTGAGCCACTGACACAAAAGTGACACATCGATGACACAAAAGCATACCAAAAAAGCGCGTCAAAATACTGCGCCGCAAAAGACGCATGGGCCAGAGGGTGATGGAGTCGCCATGCGCCGGCCTCGGAGCCGTCCGAGAAGCCAAACATGAGGTAGACGCACGCGACGTAGTGGCCACACATGTAGGTGACGACGATAACCTTGACAATCTTGCAAAAAATGAAGCGCCGTGCAAACACCTACCATCGGCAGTCTCGGCCTCCTCGAACAATGCACGTGAGTGTACCTTGTCAAACTCGACCGTGTACGGTGTAATGTACACGGCGCGCACGAGCTTGTTGCAGTGCACGAGGCCGCAGAAGGACGGCGTCACGGGTATGGCGAAGAGCGGTAGCATGGCCAATACGTCGATTGCAAACCGGCGCGAGCGAAGGTACCGGCGTCGCGTGAGCGCTGGTAGCCGGATCAAGTCGCCATCTTTGTAAAACCCGACGTGCAGGTTGACAACAACGTCGGCAAAAAAGAAGATTTCGCCGGCGTAGACGCCAAAAGCCGTCGCACACACACTGTCGTTGATCATTGCGTCACAGAGCATGAGCGGCACGACGAGGACGTCATAGAGGATGAAGACCAACAGAAAAATGCGCCAGATCGAAATGCCATGGCCGTTTGGATCGATCGTGCGGCTTTTGGCGCGCGCGAGCACCCACGATTGCGTGCCACGGTTGAGCTTGAGCTTAAAATCACCGAGCGCGTCGACACCAAAGGTGGACCCGACAAGAGCGACGATCGAGACGCGCTTGCGCGGGAGTTGCGTCGTCGAGGCAGGCTGTCCGAGACGGTTTGGACGCACAATGGCGCTGGACCGCGCAAAGATCCAATCTTTGGCTTCCATCGTGGCGCGGCGAGTGCGGTCGCGGAGCGTCGTCGTATCGATCTTTGTGGTCGAGAGCCGCGCGAGCGCATCGTGTGTCGCTTTGCTAAACGAGCCCCGTGACGCGCGGTCTCGGTACGACGCCTGCGAGTGTTCCATCTCGGATTTTTTGGGGCCTTCGCTGTGCGCGGTGGCTTGGAGGCGCAGCTTGGTGCCATCGACGCTGTCTCGCTTGTTCCCAGCCAGCATGAATGAACGCAACGACGGCGAGTGTCTCCTTGGCGCTTACCCCGCGCTCGAAACCCACGAAGACCGTTTTCGTTTGAGCGGCCGCCTGTCTATTTTCGACGACGTGGCGCGAAACGAATACAAGGACGAGGATTTTTTTATATACACTCATAACAGCTCTCATAACGCCATTGCATGCACTGTATTCAAGAATTGAATGTAATCGGAATTTGACGGCCAGATGACCGGTTAAAATTCCCTGGTATCTGATTGGCCAAAAAGTCTCCGTGACGTGGCAATATGGTTGGGGAGGATTGAGGCAGCTCGCTATGGTAGAGTCGCCTATGCTCGAGTGGTGTTCCAAGCATACCGCCTCCGTCGACTTGGATCGGCACATAAGCCCCACTACATGGTCAAGAAGAGGCGCGTGAAGCGGGAGCGCGAGGCTGTCTCGGCCGAGGCTCTCGTACTCGTCAAAGGTAAACAGGGATCTTGCACGAGGATTGGTCTTGCGTGGCAAGCAAGCGCCGAATGGGAGGGTGGGAGAATAATTGTTGGCGAACCGAACGTGGTTTGGTTGCCCTGCAAACCCAATTCCCATTTTCGCATTTTTAACACGTTCGGACGTGATTTCGATAATGCCCCGACCGAACGAAGCCGAAGTCGGACATAGTTCGAGGCGACATGGCTTGAAATGATAACTTTGAAAGATGGGCGTCCAGGATGAGTGTGTACTCTTGGTGTGTATTATACATACTAGTATACAAGACTAGCAGTGACGAGCCGCTCGTCCGTGTTGTCGTCAGAAGCTTGCATGATCCATCGTCCGATGCGCCAAACCCAGCGCAATTGTTTCAATCAATTCATTACGAAAATATGGAAAATAGTGGAGCCACGTTACGATTCTTCCGTGAGCACATCATGGGAAGGCAAGCTCTTGGTCGACGGTCCCCGACTTGGCGCGGTCGCTGCATCGCCGTGAAGGGCATCAAAGAGGTTTTCCGCCGCGATTCGCTCCGTAGCGGTGCGAGCGGCCTCCTGCAGCATGGTCAGCATGGTGTTACTGCGAATGGACGGCCCCGGTGACCAATGGTTGTCTGTCGTAGACGGTACAATCACGCTGCCATTCGGTTGCATCTGGCTCAAGCGCGCTTGCAGTCGCTGCAAGGACGAGCGGGCGCGCTTCACGGCCCGCGCCGCCTCTTGCTTCTCGTCGCCTTCTTCAGCTGACTGCGCCAACATCGCGTGCGTGATGTTCATCACTGGCACGCTTGCGTCCTTCGACAAGATCGGCGCTAGCTCGTCGGCAGCAGAAAACAAATCAGTGATGTCCGGAGGTGCTCCGGGCTCGGGCGCCGGGCGCACCGACCTGGACATCGAGCGGAGCCTTTTGGCACAAATCGCGACGGTATTGGCGACCCTGTTGAGACTCTTGGTCCGTGGCTTGCGAATGCGCGAGATCGAGTCCATGTGAAAGGCAAAGTGGGTGTTTTCGTGGATTTCCCGCGTGCACTGGCTGCAAAGACCTTGGAGACAGAACTTGCAGTAGAGCGTCGCTGAGTGGTCTTCACAGTGCTGGCATAGAATGAATTCGTCCTTGCCTGGTACCGTTGGCTTGCCCGCCGCGCCGTCGCCTTGGTCCTCAAAGAGCGCCAGAAATGGCGTAAACGCGGCACCGCACTCGAGCACCGAGAGGCTGCGGTAGTATTGTACATCGCCGCGGTCACGAATCAAGTAGTAGATAAGCTCGGACAAGTCGGTCGTGGGGGGAATCGACGGATAGGCATCGGGCTCTGCCAGCGACGCCACGACCATGCGCGCAACGACGGCACTTTCCGCAAACCTAACGCACAAGTTAGTATGACAGATCCAGATTCGGGCAAAGTACCACGGGGACTCTTGCAAGGCAGCGGTAAAGTCGGCCGCCGAGAGCGCGAGGAGGTCGCAGGCGCGGAGCGCCACGACGGAATAGGTGCAAAAGCTAGCCGACATGAAGCCTTCTTCGCCGAAAAACTGCCCGTCCACATAGCTAGAGTGAATGACAGAGTTGGTTACATCTTCACAATGCTCGGGTACCGTATCGGGGCAAAGTTGGGTGTGGTCGACGCCGAAATGAGGTTGCCTTTTGCAACAAAGTACATGGTTTGACCAATGTTGCCTTGAACAATGACCGATTCACCGGGAGGGTACCCCTCAAAGACGAGCCGGTGGGCCATGCTGCACACGAGCGCTTCAATGCCGACGGTGTCGGCGCAAAGAGGCCGTAAATACCGCGTCGAGAAGCGAGCGATGGCCACGTGGCCGATCTGAATGTTGGCTTGCGACCGGATGCGTGGCGGTAGCTGCTCCAGAATGCTCTGGTACATGACGCCGCTCTGGGACGACCACCAGTACGAGAGAAAGACGCGGACCCTGTTTTCGATGGACCGAGCAATGCGCTTCCGCGCGAGAAACTCCATGACGTTCATTTGGTTGATCTTGAACTCGACTTCGTTCTGGATGAGGTAAATGCACAGCGTCGACGCCTCGCCAATGACGTAACCCATGATAAAGACGCCAAACACGGCCATGAGGAAGAGGAACGTGAACTGGAGCATCTGGTCTTTGGGTTCGTTCACGAGACCAGTACCCGTGTTGAGCGTCATCGCAAAGTACAGACATCGGAAAAGACGGAAAAAGACCTTCTCCGTCGTTGCATCGGGATCAATCTAGGGGTATGTCACGCCACGTAACATGATAGCATATGGCATGTCATGCCACGGTACCGCAAAGTAGGCCACGGGCAGCGAGGAGCTCCACGCTGGACCGAATCCGTCGACAAAAGTAGTACCAAAGTACGCGCACGCCAACCAGTAGCTGCACATGCAGTAGTAGAGCCCAAGGAGCTTGAGTCGGTTCATCTCGTACGACATGCTGAACCGCTGCACTTCGTTGATGGTGTGGGTAAGCTGCCGCAACTTGAGAAAGCGGTTGAGCCGAAAAAGCGCAGAAAACTCGAAGAACGGCCCCATGATATAGTCCAAGGGGAGAATCGCAAACACGTCGAGCCACTGCGTCGTCTTGTGCTCCCTCGTCTCTTCGCTGAACTCGCGTGACGCGACCGTTTCGACAATGTGCTGCTTGAACCAAATGTCGTAGGCAAACACTGCGTCCGTCAGCACGTTGAGTACCTAGCCATCACGTCATCAATTGTGATGAGCCATCGTGACAGATCGTACCATGTAGACAATAAACGTGCCAGTCGAGAGGCCTTCGTTGCCAAACGTGAGCGCGTACGGGATGCTCAAAGCGATGTACAAGAGCGAGAAGCAGAGCACGGTCAAGTACCGGGTGTAGATGGGCGACTGCACTTCGATGTGCACGAGCTTCGCCAGCAGTTGCCGCGACAACGAGACCGTTCGGATGATCTCATCTTTGGATGCGCGCAAGAGCAGCATCGACTTGGACGCGTCGAGCGGGCGATGAAGCATGCGCGGCGCCGTCTCGACTTTGGCCAAGGCCCTCGCTTGGTCCTCGCGCATCTTGAGCTCTTGCTCGGCGTAAATTTCACTCACAATGGCCATGACCTTGGCCTTCCACTCGGGCTGCTGTGCAAAGACAGACTCCAAGTGCTTCCGCGAGAGCTTGTAAAGCGTGCAGAACGTTCGCGCTTCAATGGTCGCATTTCGCGGCATGTAGGAGAAGAGGGACTTTTCGCCAAAGAAGGCGCCGGCATGGATCTCGTTGACCTTGGTGCCTTTGTTGATCAAGTTGTCCTTGATGCTGCTCACGGGCTCGAGGCCGTCGAGCATCACGAACACGTCGAGGCACCCCGAGAAGACAAAGTACATCTCGACACCGACTTCGTTTTGGCGGCACACGAGCTCCCCGCGCGTCACGAGCAGCTGCGTCATTTGGCTCACGAGCACACGCGTGACGTTCGAGTCCGCATGTTCGTCTTGGAAGAACGGCACCTTGTTGAGCATCGGCGTGAGTAGATAGAGCCGAATGTCGGCGACGAGCGACGGTGGCAGGCATTGGGCCAAAATGTGCTCTTCGTGGATCGAGTGAAAGAGGCGGTAAAAGTAAAAGTGCGCAATCTTGAGCTCCATCTCGGGCGAGAACGGAAAGTACTTGATAAACTTGCGGACGTAGTTGAGGTTGCTGTAGAATGCCCGGTTGTTGCCATCGAGAATTTGGACAATATCGAGCAGATTCCCCACAACGTACGCAAGCAAAAAGACACCGAGCGTTTGGACGAAAATCTAAACATTTACCAGGATTGTACATTGAAATAGACACAAGAGCACATACCGTGAAGACGTATTCGATAGCTGTCACAGGGTATGCACCAGGGTGGTACCCCGAGAGCATGCCAAGGCCCCAGTAATGCGCCTTGGTGTACTTGAGGAGGAGCGTCATGTTGGGGTTGGCCGGGTCCATGTCGACATTGGGGAGCCACGGGTCCTTGCCAAACTGCTTGGTCGTGGTAAACCCGAGAAGCGTCGACGCGTTGTTGCCAAAGTTGTACCACGTGCATCCGATAAAGTGCGCAAGCAAGTAGATGTAGAAGACGAGCTTGAAGATACGGATCTGGATGTTGATCGTGTAGTACTGCCGCTCCAAATGTTGAATTTGCGCCGAGAGTTTAAAGAGCCGCAAAAGTTTGTTGACGTTCCATGCCTCGGACCGCAAACTTCCCGTCCAAACATTGGCTAAATTGAGCGGGATCACAGCAAGGACGTCAATGGCAAAGCTCATCGAGCGGAGGTAGCGCTTGCGCACTGTGACCGGGTCCATAACCTATTCCAACACACAGTGATAAATTGAAACCTACAAAAAGAGAGGTGTACCTTGTTGCCATAGTTGGAAAACCCGGTCCGCATCTTGAGAAAAATGTCGGCCAAAAAGCAAAGCTCGAGCACAATCGAGATCGAGTCGGACTCGCGGACCGACGCGTCCGCAAAGCCAAACGCCATGTAAAAGGGGACGCCAATGCACTCGTACACCATGCCAAAGAAGAGAAGCGTCTCCCAAAAGATGGAGAAATTCGAGTCGGGGTTGAGCATCCATGGCTTCGCGACGGTGTTGGTTGGCTCCTTGGACGAGCGATCGGACGGCTCGAGAACCCCCGGCTTGTTGCGGCTGGCGGCTTTGGCACTCCGGGCCAAAATGTTGGCCGCAAATGTCGGAAACGTTTCTTGCAGCGAGAGCAACGTCTGGCGCGTCACGAGGGCGACGACACACGTCGTCATGGCTTTGGCTTCGTCCGCGTGGACAATGTTGTCTTTGTCCAAATCCAAACTCGAGAGTCCGAAAAATTCACCTACAACCACGCGCTATGACTACCCCGAGACATGTCACGACGCGTACCCGACTGAAGCCCACGCGGCGCGTCGTCCAGGAACGGTGTGAGAATTGCAACGTGGCCTTCGAGAAGCACGTAGGCGGCGTCGGCGTAGTCCCCACACCGATACACCATTTCGCCCTGGCCATACAAGTGAATGGTCAAGTTGTCGAGAAAAATCGCTGCGAGTTGCGGGAAGGACTCGCTGACGTGCTCCATGCGCGCGATGGTGTCGATTGCAGATGCACAGATGAACGAGAGGATTTCGCGCTTGATCGTGTTGGGCAGCTCCGCGACCAGCTCGTTAATGTTGGCGCCGCGGTGCGCGCTCCACCAAAAGTCGAGGAACGCCGAGACCCGCCGGTGCAAGCCTGTCGGTGCCTTTTGCTTTTGCAAAAAGAGCTGGATCCGAGATCGGGTCGCAAGAAATTCCATTTGCTCAACGGCCGACGCGGTCACGCGCTTCTGAACTTCGTCAATGATGATGGAGATCAAGAGCATGCCAATGAGCATGAGAACACAGGCCAAAATGAACTCGCCAAACACCTCGGGCTCAAAGGGTAACCCCAGATTCGTGATGCACACGGCGCCATAGTAGAACGCGCGCAAATACAAGATGAGCTTGACATGACTCACGTGCGGGTCGTCGAGCGCATACGTGACATTATCATGATCGACGTAACCCGTCTTGTCGTGGTTGAGGTGCAAATTGAGCTCGTCGGGCGGTAGCCATCCGTTTTGGAGGTGGCCGTACCCCGCGAGAAACGTGTACGCTTGCGCCGCGCACCCCGCGAGGTGGTAGCAGAAGAAGAGCATGACGCCGAGAATGAGAATGCGTCCTTTGCTCGCAATGCGCACGAACAAAGCCACTTCTTCGAGCTCGTCCGTGAGATGCAAAGCCCTAACCGCAGAGATGGGATACGGATCAAACGATAGAAGATATCGCTACCGAAGGAGGCGCGTGAACCGCCAGACTAGGTGCCATGGCGGGTATAGAATCCAAAGCGGCAATGCACACACAACGTCCCACCAAAACGACGTGCGAACATAGTGCGTGGCGCACTTGACCGTGTCAAAGATCGACTCGGCCTCGACCACGTACGACAAGTTGAGTTTGCCGTAAATATCGAGCCACAAGATTACGTCCGCGACCGTATTGCACACTTGCATCCAATTTGGGTAGCCCATGATGACAAATGTGTTGACAAACGGCACCATAAAGAGGTTGTAGAGCGTCGCACCCTAATCGCAGCATCCCTATGAGCCATCTTATCGACAAGGATTGGTGAACATACCATGACTGCGAGTAGCCACGGAAGGCGGTAGCGCGCCTTGCGGTCCAGCGCCTGCCTCAAAAGAAGCTTGTGCCAGCGCGGTACGACAAAGAGCGGTCGAGTAAACGTCAGCGTCGTCGAGGTGCGTGACGCGGTCGACGATGCCTTGGACTAGACACGAACGCGTCAGTATGACATACCACACTTGGTGCGACGCACCGAGCTCTTGTTGCTCTTTGCATGACTCGCGGTACTACGCGGCGGGTTTGCACTACTCGCTGGCTTCCCGGACGCTGGCAAGAGATCGACAAAGCGCCGGCTAAAGCGCTTGTCGCCGGGTCTTTCAAGCTGATGCACGTAGTTGCCATACGCTTTGGCTCGTTGAACTGTGTCGTTGCTTTCGACGATCGAGCCTTTGCGCCGAATCACTTCGTTGTTGTGAAGGTCCATTTCCTGCAAGAGCTTTCCGACGCAGTCGAGAATTTGACCCTCGAATTCAGGGTACGCGCGGAGGACGCGCTGCACATGCGTGCGCGACAACATGTGCAAAATGCAAAACGTCGCGGTTGTCACTAACCATCGGTTTCGCCTCAAAAGTATCAACATATCGAGAACATACCATTGGCGGTGCGCACTTGGTTGGTAAAGAGTGAAAGCTCACCGAAAAAGCCCCCTTTTCGCAGCTCGCGCACCTACGCTTGAGTTGAGCATCGGTGCGATCGATCGATAGATGGATAGATATTTGGATAGATGGAGTACATACTTTGACGTCGTTGATGGTCACGGCGAGGACGCCGGCTTGAACAAAGTACATGTCTTCGCCTTGGTCGCCTTTTTGGCACACGACGTAGTTGGTCGGCAGCGAATGCGTGTCCATGAGGTCGATGAGCGCGCGCACAAACGCCGCGTTGCAGCAGCGAAAGAAAGGCACGCCGGCCACCATGCCTTTGAGAAGCGTAAACTTGACGTCTTTGGCGATCGACGGACAGAGGAGCCTCATGTTGCTCTTGTCGTTGCTTTCGCCGCTCTTGAACCCATTCTACACGTGTCGTTTGCTTCTTAACGTGGTTCGTCGGTCGTCTACCTCGAGGAATTCGACCGCGCACTCTTGGATTTCATGCGGCACGTGGTGGAACGAGAGCACGTAGCGGAGCTGGTTGATTTTTGCGTCAAACTTTTCGAGCGTATCGGCGTCGCATTTCGAGAGCATAAAGAGAGTGCCGCAAATGTAGACGAAGAGAAGAAAGCCGCTGACCATGACGACGACCATAAAGACCGACTGCCACAATGTGCGAGGGGCTACGCCTTCGAGGCACTTGGAGACGATGCCAATCGACCTAAACGCCCACAATGGTCGTCATATGCATGTGCAGTTGATGAGAAAAAGCGTACCAAAAGAGCGCGCCAAAGTACTGCGTCACCACGTCTTCGTGCTCGAGGTGGTATGTGAGCAACCACGGGTTGGTGTTGCTCGTATTGAACCCAAACGACGCGTAAATGCACGCGGTCAGGTGGCAAAACGCATACGACACAAAGACGACTTTGACGATCTTGCAGAATTTGAAGTGACGCGCAAACACCTTGTCAAAGTCCAGCGTATAGGCGTTCACGCGCCGAAGACGAAGGAGCTTGTTGAGGTACAAGAGCCCGCACGACGGTGCGTGCGGTACGATCATATAGAGCGGTACGAGCGTGAGGAGGTCGAGCGGAAAGCTCGTCGACCAGAGGTACTTGCGCCGTGTCATTGTCGGGTTGCGCACCATGTCGCCGAGGAGGTAGTAGCCCGTGTGCATTTGGACGCCAATGTCGAGAAAGAAGAAGACTTCGGCGAGGTTGAGCAAGTAGACAAGCGTTGGTACCTCGCAGATCGTGTGCTCAAAGCACAAGAGGAGTGGGATCACGAGTGCATTGTACAAGCAAAAGACGAGCAGGAGAACGTTCCAGCACGCCAGATAGAACGAGTCGGGCTCGATCGTGATCGTCTTCTTGTGACGGATCTCCCACGAAAGCGACCCGCGCCGCAGCTGGAAGCTCCCGAGGTTCTCGGCTGTCCGACGGAGACGCGGCACGACACGGGCGAGGCTCTCGCCGCGGAAGATAGCACTGAGGTGCGATGGCCGGCCGTCCTTAGCACCGGGAGGGCGCCAAAGGCCGAGCCGCACCAGTAGCTGCTTCATGTTGTTGCGCCAACCGTTCTTGTCCTGAGGGGCCGCCTTTCTCGCGACGCTATTTATAGATCGGTTACGAGTGGTTAGGGCCGGGATTTGGTTACGAAGCGCTAAATATACAATTCGCTAAAATCACACCACATTGCGTGTGCAAACGACATGGAATTCGCTCTTTTGTCATGGCCTCCACGACAAAATAGTGAATTATGATTCGAGGGACGTCATTGCCAGCATGAGATAACTCAGCAACCACCAAATGCTATGCAAGTATTCACGTGGGAGAATGCCTTGAAGAGAATAAACGAATGGGGCTTGCCCACAAGAGTATTTAGTACCTGCTATCGAGTCGCTACACTAGTGCCGGTCGATGCATCGACTGCCGTCGAGTGTCGCGAGGTGTGCGACCACCGAAGGGCTTGGGTTGAAATTTACGGTAAATGGCTTCAAACGCACAAATAGACGGTCCCGGATACGGTATATTTACCGTAAACAAGACGGTCTATTTGACCGGATACGACCAGTATCCGGAGGACAATAGAAACACGGTATTTTTGCGGGCAATCGGCGGGTGTTGATTGGAGGAGGCCAATTGGTGGCCCATCCTCGTGTCATTGGCCCTTTCGCTCCCACTGGATAAGCTCGCCGCCATGCCACCGAAGAAGGGGAAGAAGCCCGCGCCCGCCAAGAAGGCCGTCTCTGGCGATGACGACTGGGACATCCTCAACGAGTTCGCGACGCCTGCGCCTGCGCCCGTGGAAGCGACGCCGGCGCCGGCCGAGCCCACGACCGAGGCCGAGCCTGCCGTCGACGACGCAGTGGCTGCCCATTTGGCCAGCTTGGGTATCTCGGCCAGCGCGGCTGCGGACAAGAAAAAGAAGAAGAAGGGCAAGAAGAAGGGTGACGATGCCAAGGACGAGGCGCCTGCTGCTGCGGCTGCGCCTGCCCCGGCGGGCCCCAAGAAGCCGCTCTCGGCCGCTGCCAAGGCGCTCTTGGAACGCCAAGCGGCTCTCAAGGCCGAACAGGATCGCCTCAAGGCGATCCAGGAGGAAGAGGACCGCCTCGAGCGGGAAGCTGAAGCCGCGCGCCTCGAAGCCATCCGCAAGAAGGAAGAGGCCGCCGAGCGCAAGCGTCTGGCCAAGAAGGCCAAGGTCGAAGCCGCCAAGGCCGAGGGTACCTACATGACAAAAGCGCAGAAGCTTAAGGCCCAGCGCGCGCAGGCGGCTTTGGAAGCCATGAAGGCGCAAGGTCTGGTCACGATCGTCGCCGACGAAGAGAAGAAGCCCGTCGTGTACACCAACACGAAGAAGAACAAGAAGCAGCCCAAGAAGGAGGAAGAAGTCGTCGAGGAGGTCAAGCCTGCCGCCGAGGACGTGCCGGATGCCTGGGACGCCAGCGACAACGAGGACAAGGCCGAGGCCGAGGCCCCGGACGCGTGGGACGACGACGAGTGGGATGACTCGGCGCTCATTGCAACGATCCAGCAAAAGGTCGAAGAGACTTCGACAACGGCCGCCGAAGACGAAGTCGAAGATCTCATCGAGCTCGAAAAGGAAAAGGAGAAGGAGCGTCTCCTCCAGCAAGGCTTGGCCTTGGCCAAGCGCCAGGCCGAGCAGGAAGCCGAGGCGGCCCTCGCGGCCGAGGCCGAGACCGTCCGGTCCAAGGCCAAGCAAGAAGAAGACCGCAAGAAGCGCGAGGCTGCTGAACGCCGTCGCGTGCGCGAGGAGGAGGCCCGTGCCGCCATCTCGGAAGACAACCTTCGGTCGCCAATTTGCTGTATCATGGGTCACGTCGATACGGGCAAGACGAAGCTTCTCGACAACATCCGCAAGACCAAGGTGCAGGACGCTGAAGCCGGTGGTATCACGCAGCAGATTGGTGCGACCTTCTTCCCGGTCGAAGCCATCAAGCAAAAGACGGCTGCGCTCCAGAAGGTGACCAACCTTCAGTACAAGCTCCCGGGTCTCCTCGTCATCGACACGCCGGGCCACGAGAGTTTTACGAACCTCCGCTCGCGCGGCTCGTCGCTCTGCGACATTGCGATCCTGGTCGTCGATATCATGCACGGCCTCGAACCCCAGACGCTGGAATCGCTCCGCCTCTTGCGTGCCAAGCGCGCGCCGTTTGTCGTCGCGCTCAACAAGATTGATCGCTGCTACTCGTGGAAGACGTGCCCGGACATGCCGATCCGCGACGCGCTCGCGCTCCAGAACGAACACGTGGTGCGCGAGTTTGAAGACCGCGCCAAGAAGATCATGGTCGAGTTTGCCGAGCAGGGCCTCAACGCCGAGGTCTACTGGCGCAACAAGGACCTCGGCCGCACCGTGTCGCTCATCCCGACGTCGGCAATCTCGGGCGAAGGCGTCCCGGATCTGCTCATGATGCTCACCAAGCTCACGCAGGAGCGCATGGCCAAGTCGCTTGCCTTTGTCGACATCCTCCAGTGTACCGTGCTCGAAGTCAAGGTCATTGAAGGTCTCGGCACGACCATCGATACGATTCTCGTCAACGGCTCGCTCAGCGAAGGCCAGACCATTGTCGTGTGTACGCTCGAGGGGCCGGTCGTCTCGACGATCCGGTCGCTTTTGACGCCGCACCCGATGAAGGAGATCCGCGTCAAGGGCGAGTACATCCACCACCAGACGATCAAGGCTGCGATGGGTGTCAAGATCTGCGCGCAAGGCCTCGAGAAGGCGGTCGCTGGTACGCAGATCCACGTCGTGGGTCCCGACGACGACGTCGAGGAGCTCAAGGACTCTGTCATGTCGGACCTCTCCAACATTATGGACTCTGTCAACGCGACCAAGCGCGGTGTCATGGTGCAGGCGTCGACGCTCGGTGCGCTCGAAGCCCTCCTCGAGTTTCTCCGGTCGTGCGACCCGCCGATTCCGGTCGCTTGCGTCAACATTGGGCCGGTCCACAAGAAGGACGTTGTCCGTGCCAGCGTGCAGCTCGAGCACAACAAGGAGTACGCGACGATCCTCGCCTTTGACGTCAAGATCCAAAACGACGCCAACGAGCTCGCCAACGAGCTCGGCGTGCGCATCTTCACGGCCGACATCATCTACCATCTCTTCGACCAGTTTACGGCCTACATGGACAACATCAAGGCGCTTCGCCGCGAGCAGTTTGCCGACGTCGCCGTCTTCCCCGTCATTTTGCGCATCATCCCGACGTGCGTCTTCAACAAGAAGGACCCGATCATCCTCGGCGTCGACATTGAAGATGGTATCCTCAAGGTCGGCACGCCGCTCGTGGCGATCGTCGGCGGCGTCCTCGTTTCCGTCGGGCGCGTTGGCTCGATCGAGAAGGACAACAAGCCGACCGAGACGGCCAAGAAGGGCGCGAGCGTTGCGGTGCGTATCGAGTCCGACTCGAACGTGACGTACGGCCGCCACTTTGACCACACGGCCAAGCTCTACTCGCATCTGAGCCGCGCGTCCATCGACGCGCTCAAGGAAAACTTCAAGGAGGACCTCGCCAAGGACGACTGGCGGCTCGTCATTCGTCTCAAGGGCGTCTTTGGCATTATCTAACGTCATCCGTCGTTCCGTGCAAATGTGTGTGTTGGTCGAAACGCTGAAAACAAAGGGATAGCTTAGTGGGCAAGGCGGGTGGTGTTAATACAGGGCGATGGCGAGGGCCATCGGAAGGATGCAACTTAGTTCTTGTTCATGTACGTGTCCATGTCGTCGTCCAAGTCGGCAGCCGACTTTTCCTCGCCACGGCTATCCATGCAAGCATGAGTTGTCGAGGTTGAGAGGAGAACGTGCGTACCCTCCCCGGCCACGACGGGCACCGCCGCCGTTGCGACGGCCACCGCTGCCACCACGGTTGCTACACACATCGCAAGCCAGTAAGCATGATGATACACTGTCGATGGGAAGACGCACCCGTTGCCGTTGAACGTCACCTTGAAGTCAACGTCCTTGCCGGCAGCGCCCTTGAGCGCCGTGCCGAAAAGACCCGAGCGCACGTTCTTCGAGTTGTCGCCCTTGTTGGAGCTGGTGTTGTTGCCGCCTTGGCGCGCGCTGCCTTCGTCCATGGTGATCTTCATGGGCTGGTTGTCCAACGTGCAGCCTATGGACTTTGTGAGAGATGTTGCATGGAGTGCGGGGTGGTACCGTCGTATTTGTTGATGGCGGCCTGCGCCGACTGGATGCTCGTGAACCAAACACGAGCTTGGCCCTAGACATGGACACTGGTACAGCCAACCGCTCGATGGAGCGCCGCACGGGAGCCCGGCACGCGCGCGCGGATCGGTCCATGGAAATTCGACGTATCCAAGCGTCGCACGATGCGTGATGCGCGAGTGTCGTTCCCGAGGCGGCGAGAAGAAGAAGTTCAAAACAAGGATGAGGTCACACCTTGGAGCGGCCCGCGCGGTCGTAGAGGATCTCGTACTTGGCGACCTTGCCGACGGTGCTAAAGAGCTCCTTGATGTCGTCTTCCAAGACGTCGAATTTCAGGTTCGTCACAAAGATCTTGAAGACCGTCTCGTCTTGGCCCTGCGTCTTGCCGCCGAGGCGCGAGAGGATCGACGCTATATCGTAGCATGAGCCGCCGGTCGCTTGCAGCCGCACGTACCCTTGCGGCCCGACGACTTGTTGCTGTTGCTGTTGTTGTTCTTGTTCGAGTTGTCGTCCATGTCGACGTCGTCGTCGTTCTACACCTCGCCATGAGCCCTCTTCTTCACGCAGCGACGTCTACCTTGCGACCATACGGCGTGCCGCTGCTGCGGCCGCGGCCGGCGTTGGCGCGGCCACGGCGGACCGGACCGGCGCCGCCCGAGGACTCCTTGCCCCCGCGGCCGCCCTTGCTGCCCGAGGCCGTCGTCTTCTTCTTCTGGATGAGGTCATCAAGGCTCATGTCGAGCGAGTTGAGGAGCGACGACATGGTAGCTTCTTCGTCGTAGGTGAATCACTTTCTTTCCCCCTCTCGCTAACAACCAGACATGGTGCCGGATACGGATTTCAGAACCCATTTTGATTGGTCGAGAGCCAAGATTTCCGGATACGATCCTCGTTTCTGTGGAATTTCGAACTGAACTGGAGCCTCAGATCGGCCGAGCCGAACATGGGGTGCGGCAGGAGGTGCATGGGACGCCTGACCGACCTGTCGCGTGACGCCGGCCTACCAGGACGCATGACGCTGGCCTACCAGGACGCATGACGCTGGCAGAGAAGCGCAAGACGACGCTGGTCATGAGCTTGGATCTGCCCACCGGGCGATGAAGGAGAGGGCGGAGAAGGCGGATGATATCTATTACGAGTGGCGAACGACTACTTGGCTTGGCAGCAACAGACGCACTTGCCAGCGCACATGCAAAAGTGGCACTTGGCGAGGACCGAGAAGCCAATCGTGGTCTTCCAGTGGGGCGGCCACCTAGTACGTAGTCGTTGGGTGACAATAGGCCGTCGATAAGAGAGTACGTCTTTTCAATGGACGGGCGCGAGCACATGCGCAGGTACCACATTGCAAGCCGCGGGTACAAGCCGTCGAGCTGGAGGCCACATCGGACTGCGTAGGCCACGTTGGTAAAGACGACAATGTCACAGAGGCACGGCTCGTTCGCGACGAGGTAGTTGCGGCCGGTCAAGTAGAGCTCCCAGAGCTTAAGCTCCGACTCGAGATAGTGCCATTTCGCTTGCAGCACATCCGGGTTTGGTCGAATGTTCTTGGTTGCATTCGCCTGCGCGCGCCGGAGGTACACGACCATTTCGCCGACCATGGAGAGGATTTCGTTCGACTCGTGGAGGCGCGTCTGCGCGATCGCATACAGCTTCGGGTCGTTAGGAAGAAGTGGGTTGGGATAAAACTGCTCAAGGTACGCCAGGATCGCTGCGCACTCGTAGAGAATGACGCCCGACGTGCCATCGGCAAAGACCGGCACGCGCATGCGCGGGTTGAGCTGCTGGAAGGCCGGCGTCTTGAGCACGCCACTCGAGAAGCTCACGCACACGCTGCGGTACTCGATCTTCTTTTCTTCGAGCGCAATCAAGACACGCCAGGCTAGACGCCAATCGCCACGATGAGGATCGGCGCCAAGAAGCGAGTGTACCTTGCGGCGAGCCCGAGCCCCAGAACAAGACGCGCTCGCCGGGCTTGGCGTAGTTCTGGATGAGGTCTTCCTCGGTACAGATCGAGTAGTCGTCGTCGCTGGCCGGCGACGCATGCGCCTGCACGAGCGCCTCATGGCTCGTCGTGGGCTTGGCCGCGTCGTCCATCTTGCGTTGCAACAGAAAAATGGCAGCTATATCAATTCCTAGAGGTTGTATACACCATTGAGGTCCACAGTCCGGATACAAGATGGTTTCGTATCCGGTAGGATGTGCGTGAAGGCGATTGGGTCAATTGAGAGTCGTTTTGGCCAATGGCATGGCGAGATTGTTTTGACAAAGCCAAGAGTCATTTCTCTATAGTGACTCAAGTTGAACTTGGCTGTCGTCGATGGCGCATTTGGCCATCCTCTCGCGACATCATGCAATCGTATCCAAGATACATGCTTGAATCCTGAAGGGCAAAATAGAGAGTCATGCAATGAACGGTGATGCACAAACCCGTCGACTATATGTTTCACGATCTGTGGATGATTACTCCACACTCAGACCTTTGGCATCCATCCTTCCAAGGGCTGCTAGAATGCCACCAGAATTATATTAGTTGGCGCTTTGACAATGAAGCGAGGCGCGCATGGGCAAAGTGAGTGCAACAGAGATCTGTTGCCGATTTAGGATCACATCTGCTTGTGACTTCTTTCAGTCGTTGCAATGGCTGGAGTGGCAGCAGTGTGTCCTTTGCTTTGCATGTTAGCTTAGTGTCGGAAGAGGCGAACAACGGTGCTTCCGAAGTCGAGAGTCTTCGTGCGCATATACTGTTCGAGTCTTATCCCCGCTTTCGATCGTCCGACGCTTCTTCTCAGTTCTCGCTCATCTGTGCCGTGGGCGAGAACGAGACAGTCTTGAAAAAACGTTGACCATTGAGCAAGTTTGTCGGATATTTATGCTGGCCAATTATTGGACGAAATGTTTCGCGCAGCTTCGACCGCGCTCGTGCGTCACCGCCCGGTGCTCGGCCTCCATGGTGCGCTCTTCGCGACGCCGCAGCGCGCCTTCGCCTTGCACTCGTCCATCATCGACCGCATGCAACTGCTGACGGTGCGCTACGAAGAGCTCTCCAAGGAGCTCATGAGGTATGTCCTTTCTATCGACGACGGCTATGGCTCACGCCAGGCCAGCAACGATGGCAACATTGCGCCGTCGCGGATCGCCAAGCTCTCAATCGAGATGTCCGAGATGGAGCCTGCCCTTGAAGCCATTCGTGAGCTGGAAGCGCGCCAAGAGTCCATCGCCGAGCTCGAAGAGGTACTATCATGCAATATCTTATCGCCAGTTCTTAGCCACGGCAGGTGATTGCCGAGGCCACCGAAAGCAACGATGCAGACTCGGCAGAACTTCGGGCGATGGCGACCGAAGAAAAGTTTGAGCTTCTCAGCGGTATCGACAGCATTGAGAAGGACATTACGGTACACATGTCCGAGTCTCGCTTGGGGTCCTAGCTCACATTTTGGTAGCGCCTCATGCTGCCAAAGGACGAGGCAGATGACAAGAGCGCGATTCTCGAAATTCGCGCCGGCACGGGCGGTGACGAAGCCTCGCTGTTCGCCGGCGACGTGTTGCGCATGTATCAAAAGTTTGCTGCCCTCTGCGGCTGGAAGTTTGAGATTCTGAGCTTGAGCGAGACGGACCTCGGCGGCTGCAAGGAGTGTGCAGTCTCGATCACGGTCCGTTCAATCGCCATCGTTTCGATACTTGACGCATGGACAGGGTCGCGGCGCGTACGGTCGCATGAAGTTCGAGTCCGGTACACACCGCGTGCAGCGCGTGCCCGTCAACGACACGCGCGTGCACACGAGTGCAATCACGATCGCTGTGCTGCCCGAAGTCGAAGAGGTAGCATGACATCTCGTGCTGGTCTGTCTCACATTGCACTTTAGATTGAGATGAAAAATGTCTTTTTGCCCAAGGACTTGCGCATTGATGTCTACCGGGCGAGTGGCGCGGGCGGCCAGCACGTCAACACGACGGAAAGTGCCGTGCGGATTACGCACTTGCCGACGAATACGGTCGTGGCGGTTCAGGACGAGCGGTCCCAGCACCAAAACAAGGCCAAGGCCATGAAGATTCTTTGCGCCCGCGTCTACGACGCCGAGCGCCGCGCCGCCCACTCGGAGCGCGACAAGATGCGCATGTCGCAGATCGGGTCGGGCGACCGCTCGGAGCGTGTGCGCACGTACAACTTTCCGCAAAGCCGGATCTCGGACCACCGTGTCGACGGCCTCTCGACGTTTGGCATGGACCGCATGATGGAAGGTCTTCTCTTGGACGAAATCATTGACGCGCTCGTGCTCCACGACCAAAACGACAAGCTCCAGCGCATGAACGACCAGCTGAAATAAGTTTGAATACCAACATGATAGTCTAGTGCGTCGTGTGCGTGCATCACCATGTCATTGCGTCTCAAGACGACAGGCCGCTGTGTTAGATGCATAAAGCTGCGTGGTGAGGCCGAGTCGCCATCGCACCTCGTCGTTGCCACGAGCGAAACGCAAGCAAGGACTGCACTGGTAGCTCTATTTTCTACTCACGACGACGGATGCTCGGCGGCATAGACAGCGAGCTGATCGGCCTTGGAGAGCCCGAGACGACCACGCCAGAGGTCGGCGACAACGGGTGAGTCGTCCTTGATGCCGCGGTGCACTTGGTCGAGTGCATCGCGGCTGTTGACATGACCGTACCATTCGCCGTCTAGTAGAATGTTGTAGAAGCGTCCACGCATGCATGAGGACTTGTACTGGGATGAACGATGCAGTTGCCAGCAAAACGATGCCCGCCATAATGGCTCGTCGCGTACGCTTGCCATTCTGGAATATCCTTCTACTCGCGCGTGGCTTTCAAATGAATGACCTGGGACATGAAGAAGCAGCCTACCTCGATCCACTCGATGAGCTTGGGGCCCGCACACGCACAGCGAAAATCGCGGTTGGCGTGCGCGCACACAAACACGTGCTTGCCTTGCAGCGGGGCCACCGTCACCCTAATTGCATTACCAATCAACCTCGACGTTTCGCTGCACGAAGCTCCCTCGTACCGTGCTTGGAGGGCGTCCATGTCAACGTCCTCCTGAAGCAAGGTCTCGGTGACGAAGGTCACTAGATCACACATTTTGTCAGCTTTGAGAGTACACATATTGCGTACCGTCTTCCGCACGAATATTCCGCAGGCGAATGTTCTCGGGGAAGACGAGTGCGTCGTGCGTCGCCGCATCCGGAGTCGCGTCGGCGTTGGTCGCGCCGGGGTGGGCCACCGACACGACAAGCTGGGCGCGCTCCTTGGTGTTGATCTTGTCCGTAATCTATCGCAATGTGTGAGTCATGTACGTGGCGCCCTCGTCGTAGCGTACCGCACTGTACGTGGCGAGGATGTGGTCGGTCTGCTCAATCTTCTTGGGCCACGCCTCGGCCGAAAGCGACGGCTCGAGAAGAATGAGGTGGCGCCGATGGCTCTACGCTAAGGTGAGCTAGCATACACTGGAGTAGCAGTCTACCAGGACCGAGCCCGCAATTGAGAACCAGCGTCGGTGCGTCGCGCGCAGCATTTTGACAAATGGAACGGCCAAGTGGCGCCATTCCTCAAAATAGTGTAATAGTGTGCACCGGATGGGTCAGTGGACCAAAGGGTGGACTGAGATGCCACCCAGATCACGAGCTCAAAGAGCACGGCGAAGCAAGACGACAAGGGGACGCTGCATCCGTGCAGCGACATGGACGACATGCCAACAACGATTAACTGTTGCAAATAGATCGATTTTGGTAGTATGTCGGTCAGTGGGTCAGTGGCTAAATGCACCCAATTTGCTGCCAAGCGAGCAAGAAAGAGGCACTCGATCGCGCACCATTGATCGCACATGACTCCTTCGAGCTACCGGTAGCTACGATAAATTCACTGTACTTTCCATCGGCGAGCTTCGTGGCAGTTGAGTGCCGGGACCTCAGCGCACTTGCTCTGAGCTCAACGAATACTTTTGTGACTGGCGTTGTACGGTTCGGGCTGTGATTACGCCGATCTTGAAGGGACATGGCGACAGGCGCCGACGCCATCGGGTGGCGCGTCGAAGTCTTCTGGGAAGACGAGGAGCAATGGTTCCAAGGTGTCATCACAGAGTACTCGGAAGACGACGGCTACTACGTCTGCTACGACGATGGCGACGAAAAGTGGCAGGTACAAGTGGGTATCGACTTGACGGCGCGCGATGATTTGATCCATAGCCCAGTGCAGCACCGGACGCGATGCGTTTCCTGGCCAACACGATCGCTGTCGACGATGCAAGCACCGAGCTAAAAGGCGCGTCGCCCGTGGCCGCGAGTCACGACTACTCGGAGGACGGGTTCGAAGACAAGCTCGAGATTCCGATTCCATCGTCGTTGGATGACGGCAACCCATTGCTCGAAAGCGACGAAGAAGTAACACCAGAGCCCACCCCAAGAGAAGTGTCGGACACGCCACAGCAAGCCAGGGTCGCCGAACCACGGTGGACGGCGCCAGTCACAGCACCGCTCGCTCGCGCTCGGACAGCGCCAGCCAAGCCAACGCGCAAACCCGCGAGCAACTCCGTCTTCTTTAAAGACCGGGAAGAGCTGCAAGAGATGCGCGCCAAGCTCGAGGCTACAAAAGCAGCGTTAACGGACGAGCTCGGGAAGCTCAAGGCGTCGCTCAAAGCTGCAGATTCAACATCTGCGCAGCTCAAACAGACCATGTCGGAGCTCACTGCCAAGCTCACCGTCGCGCAGCTCCACCCTGCGACGGCCACGCCCAATGCATCGTCGATGGACGAACGCATGCTCGAGCTAACGACACGCAACCGCCAAATGACTACCGAAAACGCAGAGGTATCGACACCTATTTGTGCTCCAACCTCCCGGAAAAGGGTGCGTAGCTCGCCACGACGAAACGCGAGATTCAAGGACGCGTGGATGCGCTCCGAGCAAAAGCAGATGCGCTGAGCACCAAGTGGGCCAACGTACCCCAGAGGCACAAAATCACGCTTGTCGAAGTGCAACTTGAGATTGCACTTTTGCTGCAGCACAAGAATAACTTGGAAGCAACGCTAGCGACGCGCAAGGTGCCGCCCAAGCCTACAACGACGGTCGATGTTGACCACAAGGCCAAGCTGGCAGCCGCCGATGCCCGGATTTGGGACCTGAAGCGCGAGAGCCACGACTGGAAGCAGCGGTTCGAGCAAGAACAGGCGAAAGCGTCTGCGCTCGATGCCCGGCGCGTGCACCTTGGCGAGCAACTTGCGCGGTTTCGGTCCTCGAAAGCTCTCTTGCGCCGCGCGTTTGATCGATGTGATGGCATTGGCAATGGGACACTTACCCTCGACGAGACAGTGCAAGTACTGCGCTTGCTGTCGCCCGGCGACAACGGCGGCGACGACTTGGAGGCCTCGATTCGCATATATTTTGCGGCGGCCGACGCCAACCATGACAGCGCAATCGACTTCGACGAGTTTTGCAAGGCATTTGAGCACCTCATGACGGCATAGTCGTCCGACTCGAGGTGACGTTCGAGATCAATTGATAAAACACAGAAAACGCAGCCAATTATAATGAATAGAAACGATTCACGGGACCGTTGCTGAACTCAAATTATGGGGCTCAACTGGTGTCGGTGTTGGTGCAGCCATCGTCCGGATAAAAAATATCCGGCTGGATGATAGGGGTCTCTGAAAGGATTGATTGCTTGATTGTATCAAGTGCTATCACTTGACATACCGGTAATATGTCAAGTGATATATACCCGGATATTATGTTATGATATCCGGATTGATTCAACGGCCTCCTCTCGATGTCACATTTCAAAAGCTCTCGCGAAGCATACGTCGGATGGACAACTATTGGGACAACATTGCCGAGCAACACTCGCTGATCTTAGCGTACGCTGGCCCACTCACGCAGTGGCTCCACGGTGTTCTCATGCGGGGCGATATGAGTGTTTCCGATTGGCGCGACGTCGCTACGACCATTTTCACCGACGCCTTCCGCTCCGACTGGCTCGGCGACCTTGCGACGCTACCATGCGAGCGTGTACGTCTCGACCGTACCGAATTCCGCTTGATACGCTCGCGACGCATGTTCCAGCAGGCTTTGGACTTGTTCTGCTACGGCAAAATGCACGAGGGTATCCCGCTCTCGTCCGAGAAAAAGTTCTACCCGGACCAAGAGACAGAGCCAAGGGCGTTCAGCATCACACCCATCATGGCCGTACCCATGGAGAACTTGTGGCTGGACGTGCTCGCCCCGCTGCTTGTAGCCCCAAAAACGCTCGCGACGGCGGCCGCGCTCGGTGGCCACGCTCGCCTGCTCCAGTACCTCGTGCACGAAAAGGGCGTCGACATTGCCCACATGCCCAACTTTACTCAAACAGGAAGTCACTACATCATGGACGCCGTAGCCTCGAACGGACACGTACACGTCCTTCGCTTCCTTCACGACATGAAGTGCAACGGGATCTCGCCCGCGGCGCTCGACGGTGCCTTCCAGAACAGCCACGTCGACACGATCATGTTTCTCGTCCAGCACTATCCGCACTTGGATCTTCCGGCCAAAGCAACGTACTATGCGGCACGCGACGGTCATTTGAGCGTGCTCCAATATTTGATCCAGGAGCGCAACGCGCCGTGTCCACCGTCCGTCATGGACATGGCTGCCTACAAGGGCCATGGCGCTATCGTCGCATTTCTGCACAAAAGCGGAAAAGGCTGCACGACACGCGCCATGGACGCGGCAGCGTGTACGGGGCATCTCGACATTGTCCAATTCCTCCATTGCAACCGGTTTGAAGGCTGTACAACGTTGGCCTTTGACGCGGCTGCCAACAACGATCGAATACTCCTCGACTTTCTCATCGAGCACCGACGCGAGGGCGGGTCGACCATGGCGATGCACAGTGCGGCGTACAAAGGCCACGAAGCCATGACCCGCTTCTTGCACGCGCATCGGGGCAATCTCATTCTCGTCTAGTTTCTTCTTTCGGAGCGATCCGAAGGCTTTACGTACAGCGGCATGATCTTTGCGGCCGACTGCAACCGAACGGACGTCCTCAGCTACCTCTTGTCGTACGACACGACCAAGGCCAAGGCGGTTCAGGCAATGAAAAAAGCGCTCTTGAACGACGACAGCTACTTTCGCACTGCCGTGCTGCCCAACTTCAAACGAGCAGGCTTTCCGCGTACGCACCACATTAACGTAGACGACATCAAGAACGACGATGCTGTCGCGGCCGCCATCGCGCTCTACGACAACGACGAGGCTGCCGACGACTCGGGCTACGAGTCGGACGAGTTATGCATGTTTCATCGCATTTGGAGTCCCATCCCAAGAGGATGAGGGACACTCCGTGTCCGGTTTCTTCGTTTCTTAATCGGGACTTATGCCACCCGATAAACGATATAACTCGATGGGACGATACTTGCACATGCGATTTCCTTCGTTTGCTCTCGTTGCATCAGCAATGCACCACCAACTTGTACTCGGATGCACCTTACATTACGACGTTCGCAGTAAAGGTTCCTGAGGTGCACACACCAACCACATTCGATGCAAGTGCAACGCAATAAGCTATGACGAATGGTGCTATCCGTACTACCAAAACCCCTTGTTATACATCGTCTTACTGAGCAAGGGTTGGCGACCCATGGCGGACTGCGGGCTGGACCTTGATGGCGCGCGGATGCAAAATGTGCAGCGTCCGACCCGACGAGTTGGCAGCCACGGGCGCCTTGAGCGCTGCAATCCGTGGTGCGAT